GCACCCCAGCTGGGTACCAGGGCCCTGGGCTGCAGCTGGCCTCTGTGGCCTGCTCACTCCCCTTCCAGCTGGAAGGTCTGAGGACTGGGTTAAAACCCCAGCATGGCCACTTCCTGCTTGTGTGATGTTGCGCAAGTTAAACCCAGGTTTCTTCACCTGTATAGTGGGCTAAGGAAGGTGCGCCTCATGTACAGAGGATTTATGACAAAGTATCTGTGGCACTTGGCACCGTTACATACGGAGAGGCCAGTTACTGTTGTTGACAGCACTCAGACCTGGGAGGGTGGTCTTCACGACTCCATTTAAAGGGCTGCTTTTAGGCTATATCCCCACAGGGTCACATTTGGATCTCCAGATGCCTCGTCCATTCTAGTCCCCAGTCCAAGGTAGCTCCAGGGCCCCCAGGTTCCAGTCAGAGCCTTGGGCTCTATTGTGGTACTGGCTACCCCCCACCCTATATCCAGTTCCTCAGCAATGGTTGTGAGTTGTTCTATTCCAGAAGGTCGACTGCTCTAGCTCCTAGCAGCCTCTAGACCTTGGCTTAGTTGCTCCCCCAACCCTTCTTTCTGGCAGCCAGAGGATATCCTCAGTGCCTACCTGACCCTGTAACTCACCCTGAGACTCTTTACATCAGGCCGTGGTTCCCAAAGTGCATTCAGAGCTCCTCCATGGGCATCCACCACCTTCACCACCTCGCTACTACACATTCATGCCCATGTGCCTTCAGGCATCCAGGCTTTTGCCCAGACTGTCCTCATTCCAGGCCTGCTCTACCCGTCCTGGGCCCTACCCTCTTCGAGCCAGGTGTGATGACCAAGGCATAGGCCCAGGGTTACTCAGCCTGGAAGGGAATCCCAGTTCGGCCTGCATGTGAGCAGGTTCCTTAGCCTTTCCCAGTTTTAGTTTTCCTCACCTGTAAAATAGGAGGATTCACGGACTTTGCCTTATGGGATGTCTTGAGAATGAATGAGATAATCCCAGAAGCACTTGGTTCAGGGTGTACCGTTCAGTCTCCATATTTTCCAGGCTCTTCTGAGGGGTGACATCTCCCAGGAGCCTGGCACATTGCAGGGCTCGGGAGACTGAGGCCTAAGCCTATGCTGCAGGACCCCAGGAGAACTCTGGTGGTCCAATGGTTAAGAATCCACCTTGCAACACAAGAGACCCAAGCTTAAGCCCTGGTCTGGGAAGATCCCACATGCCGCAGGACAACTGAGCCCATGCACCACAACGGCTGAGCCAGCACTCTTGAGTCTGTGCTCCATGACAAGAGAAGCTACAGCAATGAGAAGACTGCGTACGGCAACTAGAGTGTGGGCCCCGCTTACCACAACTAGAGAAAGCCTGTGTGCAGCAATGAAGATCCAGCACAGTCAATAAATAAATAAAAACTTAAAACCCTCTGCAAACAGCCCGGGTAACCCCTGCTAGGCCTCGGTGGTGGACCTCTGCACTAAGCTTTGCAGGAGGCAGCCCAGAACCTAGCTATGCTGACCTCAGTCTGACCATTCACATGGGCACCGCTGGTGACCTCCCCCTCCCTTCCAGTCCAGCAGTGTGACCTGACCTGTGACTACACCCTGCTGAGCCTTGGTTTCCTCATCATGGATGTGATTAAAAACCCAGTCTGTGGGGTTGTAAGGATTAACACAGGGTTAGCTCAGGGTATCAGGAAGCTGAGAACCCTAAGTGTTAAGTGGAAGTCGCTCAGTCGTGTCTGACTCTTTGCAACCCCATGGACTGTATATTCTCCAGGCCAGAATACTGGAGTGGGTAGCCTTTCCCTTCTCCAGGGGATCTTCCCAACCCAGGGATTGAACCCAGGTCTCCCACATTGAGAACCCTAGGAATGACCCAATTCTATCCCAGCCACACAGCCCAGCCCAGGCTGGTAGCAGGAGCTGGATCCTGCTTAGGGGCTGAAAGAAGTCAGACCTCCACAGCTTCCATGGAGGGATCAGCCTGGAGTCAAGGGCTGCTGTGCTCAATTCACAGACACGGTACTTGCTCACCTTGCACTCAGCTCATTCTTACATACTCCTGGGTGCTGGGCTGGCCATGTGACTTTGTGGGAGTCAGGACCGAGCTCGGATCCAGTCTCTGAGGTCCTCTCTGAGGACCTGGGTGGCCCCTATGCCATTGGAGACAGGCTACAGAGGCCGGCTTGGCTCTCTCCCCTGATCCCAGTCCCATTCCCCAGCATGACCGGTCCAAGGCCAGCCTCTCTAAGTCCCACCCTGGGCAGCTTCTAGCCCTCTCACTCCAGCAGAGGGCCAGCTCGAGGGAGCCCAAGCAGCTCAGCTCTCCTGGGTGTGAAGGGTTCCCTCCCCCTTCCCCAGCTACCTCACTGCTCAAAGGAAGTGTTCAATGCAATCATGCACCTCAAATTCTTTCCATGTCTGCTTATTTCCAAATTCTAATTCCAAAGCCACTTGCAATTTTAGGTATTAGAGCAGCAATGGTAAAGAATTCGCCTGCAACATGGGAGACACAGGAGACAAGGGCTGGATCCCTGGTCAGGAAAATCTCCTGGAGAAGGAAATGGCAACCCACTTACAGTATTCTTGCCTGGAGAATCCCATGGACAGAGGAGCCTGGCGGGCTACAATCCATGGGGTTGCAAAGAATCAGACATGACTGAGCACTCAAAATCTATTAACAGTTTCCTGTCACCTCCACAACAAATGACCATGAGTTTAGTGGTTTTAAACAACACAAATGTATCATCTTAGGTTCTGGAAGTCAGATATCCAAAATCAGTTTCACTAGCCCAAAACCAAGGGGTTGGCAAGATGGCAGGCATTCTTTCTTGAGACCCTAGGGAAGAATCCATCCCCTCGCTTTCTGCAGCATCTCGAAGCCGTCTGCATGTCAGGGCTCATGGGCCACCCCCCAGCAACAGCATCACTTTGATCTCTGCCGCCATCATCACATCTTTTCTCTGACACTTGTGATTATACTGAGCCCACCTGAATAGTCCAGGATAATCTTTCCACTTCAAGACCCTTAACTTAATCAAATCTGCCAAGTTCCTTTTGCCATGTAGGGCAATGTATTCTCAGGTTTAGGGGACGAGGCCGCGGGCATCTTTGGAGCCATTATCCTGCCTACCGCAGGAGGGGGTGGACTGCTCTGCCAGCCCCAATCCCCACCCATGATGGCCTGTCCTAGGACGGAGGTGTCACGGAGGGTGGATACCAGGCTGCTGCTCTGGCCAGTACTGGCTGGGGGCTGCTGGGGCCCAGAGCTCCAGGAAACCTGTGCCTGACCCCGCTGCCAACAAGGACAGCCTGTACTCAGCGTGGCTGCTGTGCAGAGATCCGGTGCACTTGAGCCCTCAAACTGGCTATGGCTCAACTCAAACAGCTGCCGGGCCTCGGGTTGGGGGGGGGGGGGGAAGGCCAGGCCCTCCCTACTGTGACCAGAATACCCGAGAGCTACTGTCAGCTGTGATGTAAGCCACATGGGAAATTCCAGCTACATTTCGGCAAACGCACACACTGTTGGATTACTGGTGGACATCTGTTGGGCTTAGGGTACGCCAGACCCACATGGGACCCGAGAGAGAGGAGACAGGAAGGCTCCCAAATGCATGGGGCAGAATGTCATTGTTACTGGAAGTGGCCTAGGGGCTGGCGGTGAGAACACAGAGGTCAGGGTGGGTGTTCCGGAGGAGACAGCATCTGTGTTGGAGCTTGAAGGAGAGGATTATCTGGACTGGCAGTGGTGGGCAAGGGCATTTCTGATGAACGTACAGCCGGGGCAAAGGGAATGAGGGGTTTGGGGAATGGAGAGTTACGCAGGGAAGCTGGAGTTAGGCCAGTGGGAAAAAGAATCCAGAGGTGGACAGTGAGGGACATGCTGCCTGCACAGGTTACAGTTCCCAAACTCAGTCAGCACTGGAACTCTGTTTCAACGGAAGCCTACTCAGAGCACTGATGAGGGTTTGGTAGGGCTCCCCAAGCCCTTCCCATAGCCACCCTCCCCCAGCCCTTCAGATCTGGACTCAGCCAGACATAGACACCACTCAGGTCATGGGGAGCTAGTCAAGGGTTTGGGATTTGGTTTGGGCAGGGATTGGGAGAAGTTAACGGCTCAGGGTCTAGGTAGCGGTAGGAGAGAGCAGAAAGGATACATTTATCAGTAAAAAAGCCAGATGGGCCCCATGGAGAGAATCATGGGCAGCTGGGAAAAGCATCCCACTTGAGGTGAAGTCTCAATTTCCTCCACTGTCAGAGGAGATGGAATTGTTCTCCCAGAACATAACCATCAGGGACTCTACACACTCTGCCCATGCTTGTGGCTCCAGCTGAAGGAGACTGGGTGGACAGCAGGCAGATCCCTTAAGACCTCAGGGGCTTGCAGAGCCTGGACTCCTCCATTAGCACCACATCCTCCTGCTATCGTCTCCAGGGCTCCGTGGCATAGGCTGAAGGAGGCAGCTCATCCCTGACTCTGGCCCCAGGAAGGAAGGAGGAGACAGGGCAGGTGAGAGTGGCTTTCCCTGGGCTGGAGCCACTGGCTTCTCTGGCATGGACCTTGTGGCACTCAGGCCCTGGTGAGGAGGGTGAGGAGGGACTGGGGAGATCAGGCTGCCAGGTCACCAGCCTCTCGGTGGCTCCATCTCCAGTGGGCAGAGAGAAGTCAAGCGCCCAAGACTGAATTTCCTGCCCTCCCTCCTTTCCAGATTGCCATGTCTTTCTGCCCATTTCATGTTGGTGCCAAGCACAAGATACACACACGCAGGTCCATGGCCCTCTTTGTGTCTATCCTCCTAGGAAGGCAATGAAAGCATTCACAGTGCCCCATGAAAGGTACAACCCACAGTCTCTTCAAAATCATATTAAGATAAAGCATTTGGTTCCATTTCTTAGACCTGGAAGCTAAGGCTGACAGAAGGGAAGTCACCTATCCCCTCAAACCCTAGTGACAGGCAGCTGCCAAGTTCTGCACCCAGGGTGGTGTGGCTTCAACACTGGACCTCCACGTACAAGTCTCAATCAAGCCAGCTGCTGCAGGCTTGAGGTCCGAGGTTCACTTGACACAAACTTCTTTCCCAGGGTTCTCAGGCCTCGTGGGAGGAAGCTTTCCCCAAGGGTGCCTCCTGCTTCAGTGACCCCAAATGCTCCTACACTCTCCCTCTGCATCATTCTGTCCTCTTGGGAAGCCATGTCCATATGCTTGCCAAGGCCTTTCCTCGGTAATGCACCTGAGGCCAAATGACAGGAGTAGGAGGAGAGGAAAGGCAATACTGGTGAGGTAGGCAGAGGTCTGAGAGCACATGGGGGCTCTGAAAGCCTACCTCGCCCTTCCAGGTTCCTTCTGGAGCAGTCATAAGGGAGAGTCTCCAGGTCCTCCTCAGAGGAAGCCATGGGCACCTCAAGGCCCACCCAGCTTGGGCTGGGTAAGGGGCAGGACAGGGTGGTGCTGGGAACTGCAGTGTAGCCTCTGTGAAGGCAAACACCATGACCAGCGAGGCAGTTGCTCAGGCCAGGTGTGACTTCAGCAAACAGACACCCCCCCCGCCACCCCAGGCAGGGACCTAACTTCCCATTGCCACTTGGCCTCCTCCCATCACAGGACCTCAGGCAGGCCATGTCGTCTCTTGGGAGTGGGCTATATAATTCACCTGGCTGAGAGCAAAATGACGCTGCCATCTTGCAGTGGCCTTGGAACCAGAAGATCGTTTTTCACAGGGAAGGTCCCACTGCAAAACACAGCTCTGGAACCCAGGCTCTTGGCTCCATCAGAGGATGCTGTCTACCAGATCACACCGCCTCTGGTCACCACATCACCAGGTCAGGCCCTTGAAATGACTGGGCTGGGGGGATGGGAAAGGGAGTTCAACAGAATGAGCGAGCCTAGTCTGCCATGTTCCCCGAGACCTACCCTGATGCAGGCTAACACCAGCACCTGCCAGCCTGGAGGTTTCCTGTCACTGTTGACAGAAGGGCTGGGCCTTTAGGCCTCCTGGAAACCACAGGTCTGCAGACCAGAGCTAGGGTGGAGGTCTTACCCTGGCTCAGCTTCTCACTCTTCCCAGCTACAACCAGGGACGGAGGGGTTTTCAGAAACCCCAAAGCTGAGTTGGAAGGAATGTTTTACCTAGAAACTATGGGAATAAAAAGCAAACACGAGCCCTGTGCACCCCTCACTGGCTCAAGCCTTCAATTAAGTAAATGTGGAAATGTGACCCCAGAACTGCACAGCAAGGCCCCTCAGCCGTGGCCCCTCCAGGAAGCAGGCGCCATCCCTAAGCTCAAGTTCAGATGAGCTTCCTGTGCTCAGAGCCCAGGCCAGTCAGGGGGTGTGTGTTAAGTGTACCCGAGCCACTGAACGGCTAAGCCAGCCCTCAGAAGGGAGCCACTCAATGTCAAGTACCCCAGCTTCAAGGCCAGAAGGAGCAACCATGTGCCTTTCTCTACGCTGCCTCCCACAGACCAGCCAGCTGGGGCCTGCCAGCTAGCCCTGCTAGGGCAGAAGGACGCTCTCATCCCCAGCAGAGCCTAGGGGCAAGGCATCAGGGGACCCACACATCGCAATAAGAAAACATTAGGCCATCACTTGCTGGTCTCTTGCCACTTTATTAGCTGTATCTTCCAACATTCCCAGAGCAATTCCCCTAAAGACACAGCAACCTGCCTTGGCCACAATGACATGATGGGGCCAGACTGGGAACATGGGTCTGCTCAGCTCCTGAGCTGCACTGTGGGCACCCTTGCCTTTTGCTGCCCCAGGAAGGACACCCCCACCCTTGCTCCTATTCCCCAGTCTCCTAGAAATCACGGAGCATGGAGAATCACAGAGCCATGGGAAATGCCACAAGCACCTGGGGTTCTGGACAGCACCATCTACTTCCCTCCAAGTAGCATTCCTGGTAGAAATGTCAGCCAGGCACTCTGGCAGGTTGGCGCCCTGGCCAGGCATCCACAGGGGAACCACGCTGTGGCCCAGACCTCCTGATATGTAGGAACCGTGGCCTAGAGAGACAGGGACAAGCAGCCAGTTACTACCTGGGCCCTGGGGAATGAGCAGGGAGTGGGAAGCACACACTTGCGCCACAGCCAGAGCTGTGATGGTCAGTGTGGAAAGACCAGCATGGCTGGTCCATGGGGGCTGGGGAGAGGGCTGAGTCTCACCTCCCACAGAAGTCCCTGCGCACAGCCACGAGATGAAGGGACAGGTCAGGCTGGCTCTGAAGCCAGCTGCCCACGAGCTCCGGGTGTTGTGGGTCCACTTCCAAGAAGATGCTTCTATGCGAGGGAGAAAGGGGTCAGCCCAGTTGGGCAAGGCTGGACCTGCACTTCTGGGTTGCCCGAGCTGGGAGGGGTGACGGCCGAAGCAGGCCCAGTACACATCAGCGGGGAAGAAGGCTGCAGAGTCAGGCCCGGGAGACACTGCCTCCATACCCAGAGTCCTTCAGGAGCTGCGGAGCCAGGGCCAGGATGTGGGTAATGACGTCCATGCCCTCCTCACCACCATCCAGGGCTACTGGGTCTTCATATCTGAAGAGGAACACAGTGGGAGGTGAGGGCCTGGGAGGAGGTATCTAGAAAGTACAGAGAAGCTACCAGGGCTTCCATAAAGAGGGCTCTGTGGAACTTATATTCTGGGTTCAAAGTCTGAGTTCCCAGAGAGAGGGCCCCAAATGGTGGCAGCTCCAATGCCCCCCTCCACAGGCACCCCCCAAACGGAGCAGTGCTGGGCATGCTCAGCGAATCCCATTGACTGACTATCCTCAGGGCATGAAGGTCTCCCCACAGTGATGTTCTTATTTTTGGCCTGGGGAAGCCAAGAGCTGGCACTAATCACTCCTAAGAGTCAGGAAGTGGGAAGCCAGCCAGCACCCTGACACACATTACCATGGCTCCTCCAGAGGCTCCTGGGTGACCCTGGTTCTCAGCCCCCGTTTGAGAGCAGAATGGCTCAGCGAAAAGCCTGGAGTAGGGTCACAGTCCCAGTTTTCCAGCTAAGCCCCCAAACAACCTTCTGTCTCTAGGCCTCAGTCTTCTGCAAAATGGTGCACCCATCCAAGCACCTTCCAAGTATTGTATACTGTTGTCTGAGATCTTAGTCATCACCGAGTCCACCCCCGGCCCAGCAAAGCTCCACCAGTCCCCTTTTAGAGGCAGGAAACCGAGGCTCAGAGAGGTTCAGTGGTCTTAAGTGGGAAGGCAGGTGCTGAACCCAAGTAGGTCTGTGGGTTCCAGAGTGAAGCTCTCTTTCAACACTACTGCTCCTTTCAGCTCCCCAGCCTCCACATCCCTCCCAACGTGGTCCTCCATGGCAGACCCACTCCACTAGGCCTCAGGCCTGGCCTCCCTGGTCTACGCCGCACCTGAGGATCTCAGGAGCCAGCTTCTCCATGTCCCGGTGGAAGATGTAGGGAGGGTTGCTGACGACCAGGTCCACAGGGCCCCAGGGTAGAAGGTGCGCCCAGCTCTCCACTGTGGTCAAAGGGAACACACGGCAGAGAATGGGAGGTGAAAGGTGGAAGCTCCACACACTGCTGTGACCCTTGGGCAATCCCTCTTCCCAAGTCACATATCTTTGGCTTACCCCAAGTCACATATCTTGCCCCTATCTCTGGATCTGATAAACTAGACTTGCAGATTAGGGCCCTGGGAACCCGGCCAGCAGCCTGGGTCCGAGTGTATATGCTCTGACATGGCCTGGAATGTCCCTGACTTCTCTCTTTCCTGTTAAAAACCTCCCCAATAAGCAACGCTGTTTAAGTGCCACTTTCAGGCAGCTGTCTCTGACTACCTGGCCAAGCAAGAGCCTCTGCTCTCTGCAGCCCCACTTGTCCTGCCACACTCTGCCTCAAAACCAACACAGACTGAGTATATGGAGGGCAGGCCTGGCCTGTGTCAGCTGATTTCTAGTAGCTCTGTTTACTGGCCCCATCCCGTGCCAGGTGTCAGGCTCCATGGAGACAGTACATGAAGCTCAAGGATCCTGTGGGGACGTGATGGAATCTGAAATGGAGCCAGAACTCCCAGGACACTCTGTATGGGCCAGGCAGACACTCAAGTATTTTGGTCCCCAGGCTTTCTCTAGAGCTTCTGCTCACCTCTTGACAGCAGTAAGCCCTAATTAAACTCATTCACTATGGAGGATACGAAAGGTAAAAAAGATCCTGTGGCTGGTTCCTTCATGGGTGAGGTCAGCCCAGGAGCAAAGGGGACTTGCCTGTCCTCAGCAAGGGTTAGTCTGAGATTGTGTGCGTGGGTGAGTGAATGAATGTTGGAGAAACCCTCCCTCCATCTCTGTAGAGTGCCTCATCCACCCAGCAGCACCTGGACTCAGGAGCTCCACCCAGGGAAGATGAGTGGGAAAGGTACCTAAGGTCACATCGAAGGGGACGATCTGAATCCTGTCCTGCAACCGAAGCCTGGAGAGATAGGAAGGTAAAGCTGAGCATGGCGGGTGGGGACAGACTCCTACTACCTCTGGCTACAAACCCTTCTTGGACCAGCAAAAAACCTGGTGTCCACTGTCCGTTTGTAACCCTGTGGGACCTACACCAGGCCACCCCCACTGCCTTCTCCTTCCTGGGTGTGAGGGTCAGTGGGTTTGATACCTAGACAGAGGTTGAGATCAGGCCCTAAAATCTGACTTCCCCACCTTGACCCTCTGCCCTCAAGCCCACCTACCTCTGAGCATTCTCATGGGTCAGGCAGATGGCGGCTTCTCCCTTATCCACAGCAGTGACTCGGCTCTGCCCGAAGAACAAGGGTACATGGGAGGCAGGATGTTCGGAGAGGCCAGGCCTGGGGACCAGGGCCCTCCTCCAACCCTCTACTAGAAGAGGAAGGTAATGCTCAATAGCTTTTCCATCTCTGCGGCCAGAGGGAAGGGCACAGGACTTAGTCTGTGACCATGTGGACTGGGGCAGGTGTCTTCCCCCTACTTCCCGTTATTTTCCCCTAAGTGCTTCTGACAGAGAGAGGCGGAGGAGGGGTCAGCAGGGAGGGCAGCGAGTGCCAGTCATCTATCTACCCATGCACAGGGGGCTCACCTGGGGAAGCCTGCTCAGCAGGCTGAGGGAGATAGCTCCTGATCCACAGCCCACCTCCAAGATGAGGGGACCGCCTTCAGCTCCCACCACGCGGGGTCCTTGGGTCACCTCCTCCAGCACCCATTCAACCAGCTCCTGCAAGGCAGACAGATCTCAGAGTTGGTGCTGATCTGCCCCTGTGTGACTGGAGGAGGGGGATGACCAAAGCCAGACTGAACTTCATGTTAGCTGGGGCTATGGGCAGGTCACTATCTGTCTATGTCTCTGCTTCCCTGTCTGTAAATGTGACCATAACTAAGGATAACACACCTCACTGGGGACAAATGGAGATTAAACAGAAGCACATTCATGAAGCATTGATCCCATGCAGGGTACACAGTAGGTGTTCAGTTAGCCCCAGCGAATCCCTTCACAGCCAGCCTCTGGTTTTGTGCTCATACTAAAGTTAAGAATCACACTTGATGGTCCCTGGCCACCCACTCTGTGCCTGGCCCTGCTTCTAGAATGTTCCCTGTATTAATCTGTTAATTAAACCCTACTGAGGCAAGTGAGGCCCAGGGGTCAAGGTCTCACCGGGAGGCTGGCCTACAGCTCATGGTGGCCAACAATCAGGGGCCAATCAATGTGTCCTCAGCTTCCTTACAGCCTCCCCAGAGAGGCCCCAAGGTCAAAGGGACAGGGAATTCCTTCCAGGAGGGCCGAGGGGGGGGAGGTGATACATCCTTACCTGAGCCCCGTATCTGAAGGGGGCTGTGGCATACACAGGGCATGGGATAAGTGGGCATGGCAGAGTTGGAGGTGTCTAACTATACTGTACCTGCCTTAGTGGCAGGGCAACATTTTCAGACACTGTCACTCTAGAAATTAGTTTCAAGTCTCACTCACCTATCTGCCACCTGCAGATTGTGCATGGAAGCCAATATAGCGTGAAGGTGAGGGTGAAGGGCCGCTACTGCCCACTGGCCCAAATGTTTCTGAACAGCAGTAGAGTGGGTGCTCAAGGAGCCAGGCGTGGAGCAGGGGAAGGGCAGTACGGTCCCTTCTCAAAGGGACTTGCCCTGGGGAAGAGGGCTGGAGAGGGCCCCCTGGGGGCTGAGGACTCCTGGGGTTCCAGGCAGGGTTGGCTCAGGGAATGAGGGGAGGGGTCAGGAAGTGGGTGTTTCTCTCATATGAAAGAGAGCCACTTCCTCTGGGCTCTTTCTTCCATGAATTCCCTCACTATGGTCCTAGGTTTAGGATGGGGTGTGCTTCTCCCACCACGCCGAAGACTCCGTGATACAAAGCCCAGGGGTTATCCCATCACAGTGTGTCCCACACGGGCAGAGCTTGGCCCACAGAGAGACCTCTTGGTTACTCCCCAAGTGCTGGGCAAGCTCTCAGGGGCTGCAGGAAGTTAGCCTCCAAGCCTCAGACTCCCCTGTCCATCCAGTTCTCAATGTCAACAGTTACAGAGGGCTCCAGATCACTCAGACCCATTTTCCATGTAAGTTCTTCAGTGCTGAGTCCCCAGAAGTATTTCATCCTCCCAGGCACCCCAACCCAGGAGCAAAGCTCACCTGTCCCCAGTGCAGCAAGTCCAATGCAGGTAGAATTTGGCCAGTGGGTCCAACCTTTCCTGTTCCAAGCCCCTTTGGCACCAAACAAGCTGCTACCAAAGGGTGAGACAGCCCGTCTCCAGCCAGGAAGGGCTTCCCCTCACTTGTTCCCACCATCGCTGTACCAGGCACCACTGGAGAACTGGAGTGCTGGCAGCAAGCTGGGTCCACAGCACTGGGGCCAGCACAGAGATAGCAGTCTAGGGCTGTGGCCAGGAGCCTGCAGTCTTAGTGGTGAGATCAAGTACTGAGCAGCCAGTCGGACAGATGAAACTTGTCAGGAGCATGAACGTCTCTTGGTTTCCGGGCCACAGACTTACTCTGGCTGGAGAATGACCCCTTAGTCAACCACACTGGTCAGCCACCTCACAGAGACACCCTGACCTCAGAAACACACACCACATGTGTGAATGGCTACCCTGGGCAAGGTATAAATCTGAGACTGGGCCACCAGTGGCCCTCTGCCTCTCTCACACTCCAGACCATAGAGGGATCGTTTTGGCTATAGAACCACCTGAGGCACAGTGGGTAGGGGTGGAGATCACTCTTAACAGGTCCAGAAACTCTTCCTCACCTAGAAAAGTGCCTCCTCATCTGAGAGTTGGTGGCTCCTTGGAAGAACTGAAAATCGAGCTGGTCACAGGCCCAGGACACCTCTTCCAGGTGAACAAGGGAAGAATCCAAGAACATAGCAGGACAGGAGCAGAGGGGAATGTGGGAAGGAGGCAAAGAGCATGCAGCTGTCAGCTCTGCCTGGAGCCACTGCCTCCACAGGACTCCACAGCCCTCAAGAGGTTGGCCCAAGGCCTCAGCAGGACCTGGGTGCCAGGAGCACCCACAATGGCATTACATTCTTGATGGGGCAGTCCCAGGAAGGGGGCATTGCCTCCTGTAAGCTAATCACAGACAGGGCATTGAGCCTCCCACACTCCACCAAGCTGGGCAAGAAAGGTTCATGTTTCCAGCCTTGGGTTTCCTACTGTACACACCAGCAGGTTGGGGACTGCAGCACCTCCCCACCCCCAGGGAAAACCCAACTGGTCAGGCCACATGCCGCCTACAACTCTGCATTTCAGAATTCTGCACCCATCATCAGAAACCACCCTTCAATGGATGGAGAGAACACAAGCACCACGGTCCCTCCCGTGCACTCATTCTCCCCACTCCCCACCACAGGCCACGTCCTCTCAAGTTCTTGGTAAGGCACCCCCTGATGCGGCTTTACACTGGGGCAACCTGGCAAGTTCTGAGAAATGTGTGTACAGTGAGGCAAGAACCTGGCCTCCCCACCGCAGTCTCCCTCCTCTCCCCCACCTCCCCCACACTTGACAGCAGAGCCACTCTCCTGGCCCAGATCCACCCAGGAAAAGGCGGGGGGGGGGGGGGGGGGAGGGGGGTGCCCACATGGGAACCGGAAGTCCACACCCAACACTCAGAACCCTGAAACATGCAGTTGGTGTCAGGTCAGCTCTGAAGGGACTCAAAGGTCATCGTGGTAGCTTCCTTCCAATGCCCTGACCCTGGGCAGCCTCAGGGGATGGTGACCTCCTGGCCAGATGTTGCATGCTTGGAGGAGCGACAGATTGGCCCCCTCAAAGCCTGCAGGTAGCAGGCCCATCCTACTCTGGCTCTGCACCCACCCCAGCTCATCCAGTCCCAGATGGGGTAGTCTCTGTGAGGGAAGGGGCCCTGACCCAGGAGACAGGATGTCCGAGTGCTGCCTCACACCCCGTCTGGGCAGCCCTGTGACCTCAGCAAGGTCTCAGACTCCCTATTGTCCCTGCCCTGACACTGGGCAGTAAGGTGAGGACCTGGCCTCCCAGCCACATGATGTAGAGGGTAGTGGGGTCAGAGGGTTTCTTGGCAAGGGGGGAGGCTAGGAAAGTGAGGAGGGGCTCTGGGTCCCTGGCTGGAGCAGATGGATGAGGTCTAATCTTCCCCAGAAATGGGTGTGCCTTTTCTCAGAACCTGGTACCCTCTGACTTGCCTATCAGTACCCACTGTCCTACCCTGCCACCTGTTCTGCTCTCTCTGGCTCCCAGCTCTGCCACCTACAAGGTCGGAGGAAGCCCAAGACCCTAGAAAGCATTTCTCCCAGGATCAAGGTGGCTCACCTACAGAAAGCATGTTGGGACCACACAGTCCTCAGTCCTAGTAAACTGAGAAACAGGCAGTGATCTGACTAGAAAGTGGATGGAAAAGGTAAAAGGATCCGAACAATTCCCTGGTCTGGAGGCCCAACCCTCTCAACATCTGCGTCCAGAGGGGGCAGGTGGTAAGCTCCCTGAGGTCACAAAGCTGCCCCAGGCTTCTAGGTGTTCAGCGGGAGCCCTCTCCACTTTGCCCTGCCACCTGAGGAAGAGGAGGTACTTGTTTCCCACAGGTTTGGTTGGTTATGGACCCACTGGACAGCTCCTAGGGAAATGACAGGAATAGGCTGAGTACTTGGTGGGCAGCACTAGTTGGGCCATCGTGAGCCACTGACAACCAAGGCCTGGGACAGTGGCCCGGGAAGTGATGACAGTCAAGGAGGCCAGCAAGAGACCTCTCTCCTCTTGGCCCCACCTATCCAGCCAGCCAGGAAGGGTGCCGTCTCTAAAAGATAGCAATAACGGGGCCCCAGCGCCCCCTGGTGGAAGTCTGGGACAAGACAGGCACCCTGAACCCCTTCATCCCATCCTGTCTAGTCCAGCGGACACACGTACCTCCGTTTCTGGCCTAGGGATGAAAACTGGGGGCGCCATCTTCAGATTGAGACCCTGAAAGTCCCATTCACCAAGGATGTACTGCACAGGCATCCTGAAGAGGGGGAAAAAGGTGATCATCAGTGCCAGCAAATGAACCAAAGGGGCCATGCCTCGGGAGGGATACCACTGTGGCCAATGGTGTTGGGTAGGATCACACCTCCGTGCCCTGGAACTCCTAACCAAGCCCATTCCTCCCTGTCTTCTTTCTATTTACTACCATGACCCCTCTCTCATCACTCTTATCCCAATACCTTCCGAGTCCTTGGACACTTTCTTCCTCCTTGACCATGAACTTGGTGGGGCTAGAGGAAGCTGGATCCTGCTCCCCACACAGGTTTGGTCCACGGCGCTCACCTTTGCAAACGGTAGCTACTCAGCTCCTGGATACACTGTAGCTGCCAAGGGGTCAGGGGCTGGGTCCAAAGTCCTGGCCTCAGGCTCTGAAACTGACCCATAGAGAACATGAGTGGCTGGTTCCCCTGACCCAGGTTTTTTTCGTTGATGATGCTAGTAGGTCCAACATTGGCCACCCTGGTCATCCCTGAAGCTCTAGTGCCTGACACACACTGTAACAGTTTCTTGGATGGATGACTTAAGTATTTGCTTAAGACATTCCTTCAGAAAAATCCCATCATTTTCAGCTCAGCACTCTCAGAGAAGTGGAAAAGGCTTGGATGTCCCTTCCCCAGGGCCTCCCTCCCCCCCACTTCCTGCCCTCCTAGCAACACTGCACTTAACTGTTTTGGCTCCAAGGACATGAGCCACGATGTACTCACTGGATTCCCGGGCCTCAGGGATGCCCTTTTCCTCAAAGACCGCTGTCCAGTGGCTGACCACTTTGGTGGCACTCAACAACCCAGCCGGAGGCTGATGGGGTTGCCATGAGCTAAAGGCGCAGCCCCAAATGCCTCTCCTCCACCCCAGGCCAGAGATGATGGCCCTCAGCATTCTGCCCCAATGCTCCACGTCTCAGGGAAAGCATCCCTTGAGCACTTCCCCGAGGTGCCCAGGTCTTTCTTGTGATGTCAGCTGCTGAGGATGGTGACTGGCCTCAGCTGGAAGGAGATGGAGTGGTCACAGGCTCTGGGTCTTCAGCATGGCTGGTCCTCAGACGCAGCTGCCCTGGAATAGGAAAGGAGAACCAGGACAGCAGCTGAGCCTCGCGGGACTCATTCTTCTCTGACCTGTTGCCTGTGAGAGGGCATGCTTTGCTGTTCCCTCTCTGACTCCATTTTATACCCTCACCCATCTACTTGAGTTCTCTTGCCTTGGTGAGTGACATTTCCTTCAGGTCTTTGGCTCACGTGATCTGAATCCATGGTTCTGTCCCTGATAATAAATGTACTTGCAGGCTTGGGGTTTGGAGAGATCTATTTGACCCAGAGAGTGTGACCTTGGGAAAGTCATTATTTCTGAGTTTTAGTTTCCTCCTCTATACAACAGAGGAAAGAAATAACACAAACTCCCTGGTAAGCAGTGCGTCAGTCAGTGAATGTCTAGGGCCTGGGAGGCATCTCAACACACAGAGGGAGTCAATGTTACATGCTCTTAACTAGTATTACTAGGGGAGAAAACTGCTTTTGCTTGGGAGTTTTGCTTTCAATATTTAGCATGTACTGTCACTGATTTGTGGGCTGCCCAGGTGGAGCTAGTGGTAAAGAACCTGCCTGTCAATGTTGGAGATGTATGCAACGCAGATCGGAACCCTGGGTTGGGAAGATTTCCCCGGAGGAGTGCATGGCAGCCCACTCCAGTATTCTTGCCTGGAGAATCCCATGAACAGAGAAGCCTGGCAGATAACAGTCCACAGGGTCACAAAGAGTTGGATACAAAGCGATTTAGTACACATACACATTATTGATTTGTATGCTGAAAATCATCCCTCCACCCAATTTAACCCATGGTCCTAAACACCAGCATAAACTGCCAACTAAAAATCTGACAATTTGTTGGACTTCCCTGGTGGTCCAGTGGTTGGGAATCCGCCAGCTAATGCAGGGGACACAGGTTCAATCCCTGGTCAGGGAAGATCTCTCATGCTATGGGCCAACTAAGCCAATGAACCACAACTACTGAAAACCGCACGCCCTAGAGCCTGTGCTCTGCAACGAAAGAAGCCACCACAGTGAGAAGCCCCCGCATTGCATCAAGAGAAAGCCTGAGTGCAACAAGGAAGACCCAAGACCCAGCGCAAACAAAAATAAAAACACAAATAAATACCTTTTAGATGACAATTTGTTAACTTTACATTAAAATTATCACAAACACATTTAGCCGAGAATTTCAAATCAGTGGTCTCCTTTCCTCTTACAAGGACCTGTCTTCAAACTAGCCTTTATTAAACAACTGTTCGGTGCCGCTCTTCAGAGACAAGCAGGAAGGAAAACAAGACTCCGAGACGGGAAGCAACCTGCCCAAAGTCACCCAGCTAGTAACTGTTCCAGGCAAGACACAAAACCTTCGGACTCCGGAGGCAGCTCTTACTACCAGAACGCTGGCCAAGGAGTAGCCGAGGCCTGAAGTCGGGCGCAGCTTCTTCCTCTCGGCAAGACTGCCTCTAACCAAGCCTGTTTCTCCATCTGTACAACGGGGCCACAGACTTTCTGAGGAAGGCTACCAGAACTCTGAAGGACTCGAGGTCTCGAGGGTGTTCCTCATACCTTTCTAATAGGTTACTCCACTCTCCCGCCACCCTGAAAAAACTGCGGCGGGTTCGGCTCCCGGATGTGCATAACCCGGATGTGAGCGCCCCCCGAGAGGCTCTGCTTCCGGGGTTGGTTCATCCGAGAAAGGGCTCGGGCGGATTCCGTTGACCAGCTCCAGGGTTCCTAGAACCGCTGGGTTGCACCTAGGACGCCCCTACGGGCCAGTGGCGGGGGGTTGGGGGGTGGGGTGGGTATGAACGCCTTGCGCACTACTTCCGCAGGCCCACGGTGGGAAAGGGTGGCGATGTGTTAGGGTTGCTCCCCAGACAGTCCTCCTGAAGGTTGCAGCAGGAATACGGCTCTAGCCTGCGGTGACTGGTACCGAGTCCGGAGATGTGTAGGCCACCCGAAGGGAGGCGTGTCATCAGCTGCCAGGAGTCCAAGGGATCCGGCGCTAGGCGCAGGGGCGTGGCCTAACATAGACTATGTATGGGTAGAGCGGCACGTGGGCGTAGCCCAGTGTTGGGGGCGGGCACTAATTTGAGGCGTGGCACCCAGTGTTCAGGACCTGGACAGGACGAGTGTCCAGGACCAGGTGGCGACTGGACCCCAGGGCCGCTCTTGACCCTCTAACCCCTGTTTTAGGGTTTGGAGCAGGCAGCTCTAAATTGGAAGTATTAGTAGACCAGGGTTTGAATCCGACTTGTCGGGGGGCTTTGTCCAGGTCGTCTGTGTGCGCCTCAGTTGCTCCTATAAAATTCATGGCAGGGTCTCTCAAGTGTGGCCTGCCAATGCCACTTCCCCCCGCCCTCGAGTCTATTGTTAACTAGATCACTGTTGACTAAACTACTGTTAAACATGCAGTTTCCGAGGCTCCGTCCCAGACCCGGGGATCTGTATTTGTAACAAGCTACTAACAAGCGATCCCCATATGTTCCCCTGAAAACCTGAGAATTAGAAGGTATCTGAAAGCTCCTCACTCTAGAGGTGATCGCGCTCTGGATGGAGGGATATACGTAGGTTTTCCTGGGTGCAGGTGCCCAATAATGCCTCTCCAATAATAATACCGTTCCATCTCCCTATTTCTCTGAAAGATGCCTCATTTCTAGCCAGAGGTGGATACCATTTACCAGCGCCCTCACACCAGAGCCCATCTAAGCAGGAAGCTAAGAGCCAGGGAGGAGAAGCATCTTGTTCTAGTTCACCAAGCTAGTGGAGCGTCCAGCCAGAGTTCAACGCTGGCTCAAGGACTCCTAGTCCAGTGCTCTCCCCAAACCTGTGCCCACCTGCATTCGGGGAGCGCGAGTCTGTCCTGGTGGAGATGAAGCCCGGGCTAGCCGGTGGCCAGAGTTCTGCCCTTAAGAAAAGCCTGGCCGCCCACAGTCCCCCGCGCAATTCTACTTGGGCCACGGAGGATGAGCAGTGGTCTGCTAGAGCTGCGACCCGGCTCCCGCTCTCGCTGGGGGCAGAGCCAGATCTGAGCGGCAGGCCAGCGGACCAATGCAGAGCCGGCTCTGGGCCTGACAGCCAATCCGGGGCCGGGGGCGCAGGGTTGGCACGGACGAGAATAGCGGGAGCAACGCGGAGACGCCAGGCTGCTGGCCTCAGCCCCACCCCCGCGGTGGGTCCCGGCCCGGCCTGTCGGCGTTCAGGCTGGCAGAGCGAGCGCTCGGCTGTGGGCGGTGCGACGTCACAGGCACAGCCCAGGAGGTCCACCCAGGGAGGGCGGACCTCTGGTCGGACCCGCCGCCCCCTGCCCTAGGACCTGGGGGGTCCACCCCCAACCTTGCCCCCGCCTCCTGCCGGTCGCCACCACCCTTAACCTCTCCGGCTGAGCTCGGCGCCCCAGAGAGGATTAAGTAAGTGCTGAGGTCGCCGCTTCTGTGCAAGAATGGAGGAATCAGAGGGGCGAAGGTGGGGATGGGGACTGGAGTAGCGAGGAATGATGAACCTGCTGGAGAACGGTATGTGGGTTCTCGGACGTCGTAGCGCCCAATCCTTTTCCTCCCCGATTCCGTCTCTTGCCGTTTGGAACATGAGGCAGTCCTGAACAGTGATGAGCAGGGCCCTTTCTCTCCTTTGGACGAAAGGATAGGAAGAATAAACAGAGCCCCAGAGCAAGTGTTAAGGGTCTGGCCCAAGGTCACATCTCGGGGTCAGTGGCAGAACCAAGAAAGAACCTGGGACTCCTGACAAGCCCAGCCTACCTAGAGGCAGAGGACAGACAGCGGAGATGAGCCTCTCCCATCCCATGTTTCTGTGCCAGCCTTGCCCCTTCCTAAGGGGCCATCCTGGGTGTGTGCCCACCTCACACACACCCATGCACCCACACAAGGAGGCATCCCACATATACCCATGAGCTAGCACACAGCGTGTGTATGCAGCCATGATCTGTGCATTCCTCCTCTCTGTAGGCCTGCCCTTCTGCAGTTTGGCTGGGACTTCTTTCCACTCGGTCTTATCCAGGGCCTTTTGGCCTGGGAAGGCCAAAGTCACAGCCTGGACTGGGCATATCGCCCACCCTGTGCCCCCAAGGGAGGAGGGATGGGTAGGAGAAGTCATCTCAGAATGGGAGCTCCATTCTCACCTCTGAAGATTCGCTCCCCTTGACTGTCTCCTGGTCCCTGGCAGCCTCTGGCTCCCCTGTAGGGGTCCAGGGACCCAAGAACCTACAGAGAAAGCCCATCAGAGGCCCTGAATGTAGCTTTTTTCTCCTTCTTGTCTTCTGGCCTTGCCACGCCTGTCCCTGCCCTCCCTCCAAGCACAGGCTGGATGACACGCAGCAGAGTGGGTGCAGGGGCTTCTGTGGCCCCCCTTTCCCAAATGGAGTGGCCAGAGGGAGAAGAGCTAACACTTACTGGGTCCTTACTGTGGATAAGGGTTGTACTGAGCTAAGTCATTTCTAGGGACTACTTCATTTGATATGTCAGTGACCCTCTCACCCTTTCTGTGAGGGAGGTGCCCTTAATGCCCCCAGCTTAGACTCAGAGAAACTGAGACAGGGAGAAGTGGTTGACTTGCCTAGGGTCACTCAATTAAGTGGCTGAACCAGAATTCATAGACAGGCCTGTCTGATCATTGTGCAAGGAAAAAGCTGCAGTATTTTTTTTTTTTTCCTCCAAGCAGGAGGTGAGGGATGAGGGGTGGGGCACAGGCAGGACATAAGAAGATGAAGAGCGTGGGGAGTAGCGGCTGGGGATGGGAAGTGGACTTTTTCTTTCAAACCTCCCTACTACCTTTCACATCTGAGTATGATTGCTGTGATCATCTTACCCACAAAGAGGGGGCAGGGCTTCATTTTCA